ATGATGAGACTGGAGAATGTTGACCATTTCCCATACCTCAGAAGCCATCTCTCTCACAAGGCTAACATCGATGAAGAAATCCAACATCACCTCAGATGTGGAAGTGCAGCCTTTGGACAGCTGAGGAAATGGGTGTTCAAAGACTGTGACACTAAATCTGAAACCAAGCTCATGGTTTATTAAGCAGTTGTGATCCCCATGTTACTGTACAGAGCTGAAAGGTGGACAATGTATAGGAGACATTTCAAGTCACTGGAAAAGTACTATCAACACTGCCTGCAAAAGATCCTTTGAATCCAGTGAGAAGATAGATGCAACAACATTAGCATCCTCTTGCATGCAAATACCACAAGCATTGAGGTGAAGATCATCCAATATCAACTGGGCTGGGCCAGCCACACCATCCAGATGTCCAACTCTAAGCTCCCGAAGCAAGTTTTATTCTCTCAGCTCAGTCAAGGCATATGCTCAAGAGGAGGACAGAGGAAGCACTTCAAAGATACCCTCAAGGCTACCTTGAAAAAATGCAACATCAACATCAACTTATCAGAGACTATTGCCTAGGACCGCCCCAACTGGAGGAAGACGCTGCTGCAAGGATTGTAGTACTGCAAAACTTTACGACAACTGCAAGAGACAGAAAAAAGCAGGAGCACAGGAAACAGCATGTGGCGGGCCAAATCAAGAATCTGGAGCTACCCAACCCACACAGAAACAAATGCCTGAGTTGCAGCAGAGTCTGTTGATCCCAGATTGGTCTTGTCAACTATCTTTGGACCCACAGATAAGATAATCCTGGAAGACAGTCATCCGTGACTGTGAGGGATAGCCAAAGAAGTATTTGCTGACAAGAGTTGTTCTTTGTGAAGCTGTTCAGTCTATTCAGGATCTTCTTGTTTTCACAAAAACACCAGTCGCTATGCTGATGATTCAATTCTTCATCAACCCATGGAGTGCCTGAGTTGATTTGCTATTTTAACAAAGATCTGTAAAAGTAGCCATCACTCTCTGGAAGATACTTTTATAATTAAAAAAAGAAAAATATGGATATAACCACATAGCAACTGTACTATGCATCTATGCTAAGATTGTTGTATCCTTAAAAAACTTAACACAAAACTATAAAAGCAAGGAAATTAAAAATGCAGGCATCTTGTTTGACTTGCCTTTTATTCCCAGCCCAGAAGCAGACACCTCGCTACTAGAACAGTATGGACAGTCACTTTAGCTGTGTTCCAGTTCAGAACCTAGACTTCCAGCACACCTCCTCCCAATCCAAGTGGTTAATTTTTCTGTGGAAAAAAGAGAGCTAGATGAAAGGGATTTCTAGATGCTGGTGTGCTTAGAAGATAATTCTTTTTTCTTTTTTTTACTTTCTATTTTAAATTGTAATAGAATTTTAATTTTTTAACAGAAAAAATTATTTCTTTTATTGATTTTTTATGTATTTTTTTACAGTTAAAATATTGCACAGCCACAAAAACATGTGAAGTTGCCTAACAACGACAGTGCACTACAAATAATTTAAATAGTGGCTTAATCACAGGGTGACTGATAGGAGACACTTTGCATTCCCTCAGATAGCTTATCAAAATAATAGTTTCTTTTTGCTGTGAGAAGGGTGGGGAGGATCAGAAGAGGAGCTGGGTGTGGAATGGAGGACTCCTGATAAGTCTGTATAGTTGTTTTGGAAATATTTTCCTTCCCTTTCTCCTTCCTGTCTTTTCCCCCCTCCTAGCTCTACTTCTCAAATAAACAAATGCATTACATAGAAATTACCACGCTGGATCTAACCTCAGGCTTCTGTCTGACTGGTCATTTCTGAAGCTTAAAAAAAAAGCAAGGTGTAGGGACTGTGCAGTAGGCCAATGTGAGATAATCCACCCTGACCGTGTTAGATTTCTAATGGAGATTGGCTTCAGCTTGTGGAGTATCACTTTAAACATTCTGTTATTAATTCTAACTGTGGATATTATTGATAGGTACTATTTGTCTCCCTTTACAGATCATTAATGCTAATATTACATATTAATATTATAAAATTACATATTAATAGTAAATGAGACCTAGTATGGAACACCAGGGCATAGTGCTGTTAACCTTTTGCCATGATGAAAATTGACAATTTAATACCTTTGTTCCTTAGCCAGTTCTTGATCCGGTTTTTGTACCTGGCCCCTCAGTCAAGGACTATATGCCTATTTTCATAGCCTCTTACACAAGAACTTGATAAAGGTCTTTTGGAAGTTCCAAGGCAGTCTGTTAACCACTTCTCCTTTATCCATTGCTTTGTTATCACATTCAAAGAATTCTGAGAAATTAGGAAGATGTTATCTTCCTTTTCCTAGAACAGGAAAAGAAAAGAGGCAGATCATCAAGTTAAAAAAACCCAATGAAAACAGCTAGATTCCAGTTCTATAGAGCAGCGATTCTCAGGCAAGATACTGCAGCACCCTGGGGTGCTCTGAGATCTTTTTAAGCGGGGTGTGGAGTGCAGTGCAATATTTGCACTCATAGGTGCGCAAACACCTACACCATTCACAAGATAAAACCAGGATTTTAAATAGGAATATGTAGGGACAAAAACATTCTGACCTGTTACAGTCTTTCTGAATTCTTTGCAACAGAAGAATTGGTCTATTAATTGTCCACGGTAAAAAAGGAAAGAAAGCTAAGAGCTGGCATTTTCTGAAGGGTGCCTTGAGTCTAACACAGGACACCATGAGTAAGAAAAGACTGAGAGAGAACCCCTGCTATAAAGACTTACAACTTGTTGAAAGGAATTTACTTTACAGTACACTGGGGTGGGAATTTGCAGTACATGCACTATTTTTCACTACATCTGGTGTACTCAGTTTATTAAGATATTTTGAGGCTTGTCTACAGGCAGAGCTATTCAGAAACAGTAATTATGCATGGGCTTGACTTTATAGAAGCATTTGCAGGATCTGTATTTTGTATGTATTTATACAGCACTAAGCATAACTAGAGCCTCTAGACCTAACTGTAACAAAGAGAGCTGATAATTAAATCAGACTTCCCTAAGCAATACAACTTTATTTGATGAAGCATCTTTCACATAAACTGTATCCCACAATTAGCTACAGCGTTAAATAGCACAGATTTAACTTTACTCTCCTAAACAAGTCATAGAAAAGGAGGGTGTTTTTGCTGTTGTCTAAGGAGGCCACTGTCACCTAGAAGTGCATGACAAGACCCTGAAGTAGCTAAAACATTGCATACTCAGGTGCTGCGTCAGCACAACAACACTTGCCTACAATGCAGTTCACGCACCACAGAGGCAATCTCATGGCTTGGATGGGCGCTCCCCCATCCTTCTTATAGCCAGGAGGATGAACAATTAAGACTTCTGGGTTAACAGTAGGGGTGATGCATAGGGGGTGCAGGTGGGTGCACATGCACCCCTGAGCATGGCAGTGCATCCCCTACAAAAAGCCGTTGCCAACAGTACCAGGGGCTAAGACCCTGGTTGGCGCTCGCCAACCCCCCCACCACTGACAGCACAGACGGCATCTGAGTGAGCTCCACGCTTACCACCGCTGCACTCCTGCTGCCGCTGTGTCCCCCCAGCCGCCAGGGGCACACACCGTTCATGGTTGACAGCAGTGATGGGAGGCAGTGCAGTGGGGATAAAGACTTTTACAGTGTCCTGGCCTTGTTCACCAGTGCTGATATCTCATGTTCAATATTCAGTATTGCCAACTCATGATTTTTTGGTGTTGTTCTTAAAGTTTACACTTCAGGAATGTGAAAAAGTTATCTCTTTATTTTCACACACACACACACACACACACACACACACACAGAGGCAACCCCTGCTTAACTCTGTTTTGCTTAGCACTATTTTGCTGTAACACTCATTTTAAATTGATATCCAATTCCACTTAGCACTCTGTGAGTTTTGTTATAATGCTCATGGTCGCCACCTTGGGTCATCAAATACTTTTGGCTTCGCTTAATGCTCCGTTTTCCAGGAACCAATTAAGAGTGCCAAGTGGGGGTTGCCTCTGTGTGTGTATGTGTTTGTGTGTGTGTGTGTAGACCTATCTATCTATCTATCTATCTATCTATCTATCTATATCTGTACACACAGACAACCCCCACTTAGATCTTTATATATATATATAAACTTAGATCTTTGTGTGTGTGTGTGTGTGTGTGTATACACACACACACAAAGATCTAAGTGATCTTTATATACACACACACACACACACAAAGATCTAAGTGATCTTTATATACACACACACACACACACAAAGATCTAAGTGATCTTTATACACACACACACACACATATATGTGTGTGTATATATATATATATATAAAGATCTAAGTTTTTCACATTAGCTCTTTTTATATATGCATGTGTGTATACACACGCATAAAAAGAGCTAATGTGAATATATATATGTGTGTGTGTGTACACACACATATATATAATACACACATATATAGAGCTAATGTGAAAAACTTAGATCTTTCTTTATACACACATACACACACACACACACATATATAAAGAGCTAAGTTTTATATATATATATATACATATATGTGTGTGTATATATATATATATATATATTTAAAAAGAAAGCTAAAAAAAGGAAGAGCTAAGTTAAATATAAAGAGTGATGTATATAATATATATTTAGAAAGAAACAGCTAAAATATATCTCTATGTATCTCTATATGTATCTATGGAGATAGAGATACATAGAGATATAGATCTATAAGACAGCTAATGTGAAAAACGTAGCTCTTTCTATTACGTATTCTACATAAATAGAAAGCGCGACACGTCCCACATTCCCGAAGCACAAGGCCACCACTTCGGAGAGCCGGCAGCACTGGACACAGCTCGGTCACATCCACCCGGGGAGGGAGGAGAAACCCGGTGTGCTGCAGGGATCCCGGCGGGCCCCGCCCGCCCGCCGCTGGCTCGCTGCAACATCTGGCCGGCCAGCTGTTCCGACTAGAAGAGCGCGTGCGAAGGCGGCGCGGCCGGGCCAAGACAAGCCCGCGGCGTGCCCTCGCCTCTCCCAGCCCCGCCGGGAAGGGGAGGGGAGGGGAAGCCGTGCAGGGCGGGCCGGGCCAGCGGAGGCTGCGCCGGGCTGGAGGCAGGAAGATGGCAGAGCCGGAGACTCAGCTGCTGCTGGGCGTGGGGCTGATCGGTAAGAACGGGGCGGGCGGGCTCTGGGCTTATCCCGGCTCTTCGTCCCCCTGCCCCTCCTGCCCCCGCGGGACACGGAGCCAGGCTGTCCCCGGGGCTGGGGGCTTTTTCTGGGACCCCTTGGCCCGAGGAGAGCCCTGCCCAAGCTCTGGGGCTTTCCTCCTGCACCCCAAAGCTCGCCCCCTGCGACACCAGAAAAGGCGTCTCGGAAAAGCCGTGCTTCTGTCGCCCGGGCATAAAAGCCAGCCTTGATGAAGCGATCCCCGCGTGGGGGAGAGCCAGGACCTGCCCTCCGCTTGGTGCCCCCACGGCTGCGTTATTGGAAAGCAGCAGAAAAAGGGGGCACGGGTGCCTCCAAAAGTTTGGGGTGGCCGGCAGTGTGTCTGGGCCCATGTTGTGCGCCCCGTGTCTATCCTCTGTGCACATAGGAAATGCTGCATCCTGGGGCTGACGGCAGAGGGGAAACACCTAAGACTAGGGTATCCGTTTAGTCCTGCCCAATAATTTCACAACCCGAGCGAGTCCGTTTAACAGTCGAGAGCTCATTTTTGGCCTCCTCAAAGCGCCGTGCTGCAATGGTGGCGGCGGTCAAGGAAGGAACTTAGACCTCATGTTCTGCAAACATTTGTGTTCCTGCTTTATTTTAAGCCCCCGAGTGTTTCCACTGGCATCCATGGGGTTGGTCAGATGTTTAAAGTGAAGTAAGTGTTAAAATATTTGTAGGATTGGGGGTAGGGAGAGCAAAAGTCTTCATCGTTAAAAGGAAAGGCTTTTAAATAATCCCTCTCTTCAAATGACTGAGATTTTCTGTAGACAAATCTCCAGTAGAGCTGAGATCAGGCTGTTCTGAAGACCAGCCCCTCGTGTATATATATAATCTTCAGATTTCAAAGTCCACCGGGGCTGTAAGCGTTGAGTGAAGCACCACAGGAAGAAATCTGACTTTTCCTGAAAATGTGTGTACCGGGTTAATAATATGGGAGTTACTAGAGTTTAATGGAGTGCTCAGGAGTTAACTTTCAGTTTCTCGTGGTGCTATGGCCATAAAAATTTGTGTATTCCTCATGCCTGTTTGTAAATGTTTTGTTGTTTTTTAAAATATCCTTGCAAAGGTCAGACATTTGAATGTGTGCAATAGCCAACCGGCAAGAGTTAATTAGGTCTGGCAGCGGATGACTTTTTACTTTATTATTAACTGATATATATATATATATATATATTTCTTTTAATGAGATGAACTGAAGAGTAGTTTTAAAGCAGAAGATGAAGCATTTTAAGTTACTGAATATTTTTGTTGTTGTTTTCACCTGTGTAAATGAACATTGGTAAAACATATTTAAAGGACTGATTGATTGATTGATATTCTCACTCTCTGTTATTTTCTTCTCACTTACAAATATAAATGGTATGTTCAGTTCTGGCCTTGAAAAGCACACTTCACTTTCAGCGCACAAGGCTGAAACTTTGCATACCAAGACTTTTCTCAAATAAGATTTTTACAACATTTTCTATATGCCCAAAAGTAAAAGGTTTGTAACTGAAGCATCGATACACAACTTTACTAATAGAGGCATGACCGGTGTGTTTAGGTGTAAAATGGGATGTTAATCTTGATTCCAGTAAATAAATCTGATTAACCAATCAATTTACTTCCTTGCTGCTGTTTGGCATTCTCACAGTGAACATCTTTCCACCATAGAAAAAGACACCAATGGCGACGCTTTGTGGGTCTGGTGTTTTCCTTCCACCACAACTGAACTGAGGGATCTGTTGCTAAGAAAATGCTGCCTTAAAAATGAAAATAAGTTGCTTCACACCTTTGTATTTGGCCAGTATAAGAGGACATGGTTCTACATCACAACAATGGAAGTTCAAGATTCTCCCATGTTGAAAAAGGTAGGACTGAATTGTCAAGAAGGAATATGTAGGTGCAAGGTTTGCTCAAATACCAGAATTTCACCAAAAAATTGTGTTTTGCACACGTTTTGGAATTTGTAAAAGGAGTTAAAGCCAAGGGCCACATTGTGCCACAAGCTCTGATGATTAAAATGTCCATTAAAAATAGGAAGAATTTTGCTTAAAACTCAGAGACTTGGTATGAATGTGTATCTTGGGCACAGTGGGGAAGAAAGTTTGTAGAGTTTTTCTAGTCCAGTGGTTCTCCACTTCATTACACTCAAGGCTGCCTCTTAGCTTTTGCTCGTTTCCTGACTGAAAAAACGAACGAGCAACTCTTCTGTTGCAAAGAACTCAGACCGCAACAGGTCAGAACATTTTCCTATCTGAATGGATTACTGTCTGAAATACCTGGGTTTATCTTGTGAATCGTGTAGGATTATAACATAATTTTATTACAATGTTTTATTTTTGTCATGATTTGTGTTTGCGTAGTGTGTATAGAGACGATGGCATAATAACTCAAAATAAAGTCTTATATTGTATGTGCGGGGTGGGTGTATAGGTATGGTGGGATGTGCGTAGGGGGTGGTTTGTGAGGGGGTGTGGCTGTGTGTGTGGCAGGGCATAGGGTATGTGTGGGGTTTGTGGAGTGTGAGGGAGGGTTGCGGGGGTGTGGGAACCCCCTCACACTTCCCGTGGTGCAGAGTCCCTGCTGCCAGCAGCAGCAGCAGCAGGTGGTGAGTGCTGGTGGCCTGTGCAGGTGTATAGCTCCAACCAGTGCTGCACGTGGTGGCAAGGAGCACAGCCAGGCTGGCGCACTCTTATGGTGCGGGGCTCCCCGCAGCGTGCATGCAGCTCCCAGCACTCGTGCACCCCAAGCAATGGAGCTGGCTGCCTGCCCTGCCTCCCTGGACTCGGTTGGAAATGGAGGGAAGCCCTGGGCCCTGCTTCCTGGTGCAGTCCCGACAGATGTGCGCCGGGGGCAGCTGGCTCCATTGCGGCGCGGGGCTTCCCCCAGTGGCGCATGAGTGCAGGGAGCCTGACACGATAAATGCGGGCTGGCCTGGCCTGGCTGCACTCCTTGCCACCACGTGAAGCGCTGGCTGGAGCCATATGCCGGTGGGTGACAGTGCATGTGTGGGTCATGAGTGCCTGCCACCTGCTGCTGCTGCCACTGGCAATGGGGGCTGTGCATTGTGGGCCGTGGGAATGTGTAGGGGGATCCCTACACCCCGCCCCTTACCCACACTGCCAACCCGAGCTCTGCACTCCTGTCGCCTCCCTGGGCACAGGCTCTGTTTCATAGTTTCATAGTTTCATAGTTTCATAGTTTCATAGTTTCAGGGTCGGAAGGGACCTAATAGATCTTCTAGCCCGACCCCCCGCCAGGGCGGGAGAACAACCCAAAAACACAAACAAAACCACTCACCCTAAAAACAAAAACGGGACTCAAATGAGTCCAGCCAGGTAAGTATCCAGCCTCTTCTTAAAGATCCCCAGGGTAGGGGCCAGCACCACCTCCCTTGGAAGTTGGTTCCAGCTCCTAGCCGCCCTGACTGTGAAGTAGTTTTTTCGGATGTCCAATCTGTACCTCCTCTCCATCAACTTGTGCCCATTATTCCTTGTTATGCCAGCAGGGGCTAGGGGAAACAGCGTCTCCCCCAAACCCTTCTGGTTCCCCCTAGTGAGTTTATAGACGGTCACCAGGTCCCCCCTCAGCCTTCTCTTGTGGAGGCTGAATAGGTTCAAGTCCCGCAGTCTCTCACTGTAGGGTCTGCCCTGTTGTCCCCGGATCATGCGGGTGGCCCTCCTCTGGACCCTCTCCATGTTGTCCACATCCCTCCTGAAATGGGGCGCACAGAACTGGACACAATACTCCAGCTGCGGCCTGACCAGCGTCGCATAGAGGGGGAGGATCACCTCCCTGGCTCTACTCGAGATGCACCTGTGGATGCACGACAAGGTCCGGTTAGCCCTGCCAACCATGACCTCGCATTGCCGGCCCATGTTCATCTTGGAGTCAATAATGACACCAAGATCCCTTTCCGCCTCCGTGCTCTCAAGTAGGGAGCTCCCCATCTTATAAGTGTGCTGCTGGTTCCTACTACCCAAGTGCAGCACCCTGCACTTGTCCGTATTGAAACGCATCCTGTTCCTGTCTGCCCACCCCTGTAACCTATCCAGATCCTTCTGCAATCTCTCTCTCCCTGCTAGCGTGCTCACCTCCCCCCAAATTTTGGTGTCATCAGCGAATTTAAACAGGTTGCTCTCCACCCCAACATCAAGATCGCTGATGAAGACATTGAACAGCGCAGGGCCCAGGACCGAGCCCTGAGGGACTCCACTACCCACCTCCCCCCAAGTCGAATATGATCCATCCACCACCACCCTCTGAGTGCGACCCTTCAGCCAATCTGCAATCCATCTGACCGTGTAGGCATCTATGCCACAGTCGCCTAGTTTACTGTACTTTTGGCAGTCCCAGCTTCGCACTTCCGCCCATCTGCAGCTCCCCCGCCCCTGCCACTTCCCTACCGGCTGGCTGGGGCAAGCGCTGCAGCAGGGGCAGGAGGAGGAGCCGCCAGAGGCCAGGGAAGCCGAGCAGGTTCCCCAACATCTGCAGCAATGGCAGCAGCAGCCCCACCTGGAAGCTGCTTGCTGGCTGGGCCAGGCCCTTCAGTGCATGAGGGTGGAAGTGAGGTGTCTGGCTGGGCAGGGTACACTTAGTTGGTGGGTGCCCAGGGGCTGGTTGAAATTGCCTGGTGGGCCGTATTTTGCCCGCCCCAGTGTAGGCATTTGCATGCCTAACAGTGCTAAGACTGAGTAACACCCCACAGGGTGCCACAAGATCCTTTAGAGAATCATTGCTCTAGTCCAACAGACCTAGTCTTTAATAGATAGCCTTTTCTCTATGAAGTCCTGGGGAAAATGTTTTGTGAATGGCAAATTCATATAATTTATTTACATTTGCTCTTCTGTGGGTAAGCAAAACAGATATAACATCACAGTCCCTCTTTTCCTTCTCTGTGGATAGCAAGAAAAGGGAAAGGCAGGGCAGAGTGGCACCAAAAACTAACTTGTTCAAAAAGGCATGAGCTTTTGAAGGCTACAGCCTATTTCATCAGATGCTAACTGGAAAAAAAGGAGAAGAGAGATATGCATGGATAAAAAAAGAGGTAAAGTAGTTGTATGTTTGGGAGTTAATACATACAACTCCCTTTTGAAATAGTTGAGAGAGCATGAAGCATATGCAAAGGTGAATTTGACTCCTGGATGCATTAAAGGTATCTTTGTTGGTAGGGCAGTTCACTTAATTATTATTGTCTGCTTCTATATAGATATAGAAATAGGAGGTTAAAATAAAGGTTATTCCTTGCCCTGACAAGTTTACAATTTGAAGTTTAGGCACAAGAAATGATAAAAGAATAATGGTTATTGGCAGAGGCAAAAGGAGGCAGTTACAGCCTTCTGTGTGGATGGACGGCTTCTGTAAATTGATTGAAAGACAGCTGGTCTCTGCATGGTTTTAAGGTGTCTCCCTCTTTTTTTTTTTTTTTTAATGGCAGGACCACATTTTCTTCCAGTGGAAGATTGGAGCTGATAGACCTGGCAAGGAGGCTGATTTTAATTAGGAAGAGTGGTACTGAAAACAGGGCGGCTACTCCTGGCAGAAGGAGTAATATGGAAAAAGATGTGAAGATCAGTGGGACAAAGGAATGAAATAAGTCAGATGAGAAGCGTAGGGTTTGAAAGGATTGATAGGTAGAAATATAGTAAGAGATCTAGGCAGGGCACCATTATACATAGTTTCATAGTTTCTAGGGTCGGAAGGGACCTGAACAGATCATCAAGTCTGACCCCTTGCCCTGGGCAGGAACGAGTGCTGGGATCATAATACCCCAGCCAAATATCTATCCAACCTCCTCTTGAAGACCCGCAAGGTAGGAGAGAGCACCACCTCACTTGAGAACCCATTCCAGAGCCTGGCAGCCCTAACCGTAAAGTAATGTCTCTTGATATCTCCTCCCAATCGATTTGTGGCTGTTATTCCTTGTTATCCCAGGTGGTGCCTGGAGGAACAGAGCCTCACCTATTTTCTGCTGGTCCCCCTGGTGAGTTTATAGACGGCCACCAGATCCCTTCTCAGCCTTCTCCTGTGAAGGCTGAGTAGATTCAGGCCCTTTAGCCTCTCTTCATAGGGCCTGGCCTGCTGCCCCCGACCGTGCAAGTGGCCCTCTGGACCCTCTCAAGATGAGTCACATCCCCGTTGAAGTGCAGTGCCCAGAACTGGATGCAGTACTCCAACTGTGGCCTGACCAGCACCGCATATACTTGATGTTCTTGCTGCATCTTGTATCCTGTTGGTTTTTCAGCAGCTTTCAAAACTGCAGGCCAGGCTTTGAAGCTTTCCTAGCTGCACCCTGTTTGACTGTATACACTCCTCCTTTCCCTTCCTGACAGAGGGAAATATTTGCAGACTCACAGGATACTACTTGCACCTAATTTTCTGTCAAACCTGCACCATCTCTGAATTTTTTCCATGGGTATCAGATAGCATTTGAAGAGTGTTTGATGGTGCAGAACTGTAGGGTCAAATATATAAGATCCAGGCTTGAATGTGTGTTGGAAAAGAGCTGTTACATCTTATAGCTACAAACAACAGCAAGAGGTTTTTCATATTATATTAGTTTTCTTAGAAGTGCAGATTACTTTTATCAGAAATGAGCAATGTGCAGAGAGATCTCGTATTTTTTGTGTTGATACATGATGTGTTGTCTTTTTCTGAATGGTTTTGTACATGCATAACTTTATTTATATTGGTCATTTAAATACTGCAGATATACTTGTATCCTCTGGTCTTTATCTAGTGTTGAGACTCTCAGCTAGTTTGTTGTAAGGCTTGTACCTCTGGTATTCTCTAATATGCTCTTAAGGAAAAAGCACTAGCCGGTTACCCCTGCTATGCTCTTATTCTAATATGACTCCTCATGCCCTTCCTGCGTATCCACAAGGCTATGGTCTTCTCACTGCACTCTAACTTCATCTCCCATATGAGATTAATGAGGGGAAGAGTAACTCTCCTTATAATTTCACTTGGTCCACCAAATATTAAAACTCCTGACTATGGATGTAGGTCAAGCCTATTAGCCATGTCACTTCTACAGTTTTATGAATAAAGCCTATTACTGTGTCTCATTCTCCTGGTACTGCGATGTCTGGCATGAGCGTTGCATTTGAGTTTCTTAATGTAAACATTTACCTCGACTGAAATGGAAATATATAAAGCAACGTGCATTTTTTTTTCTGTGTGTTTTGGACAGGTGACTCATTTTTCAATTGTCCTGACTGCCAAAGATTTTAACCCGGAGAAGTATGCAGCCTTCACTAGGATATTGTGTAGGTCTGTATGAAAACTGTATGTAGTACTAAAGTTTAAATATTTGGATCTTGCCAAAACGGGAGATTGAACTTTGTTTGCATTTTGTCTGGCAGCATGACAATCTGTTGGGATCTTGGGTTACTATTTGTTATTCCAGATATATAAATTCTAGATTGGTGATTCCTTTGATCTGGTTGTTTTGTATTTGTGCAGTAAATATTAGGACAGAGTCAAATGTTTGCCTTTTTTTAACCCATGTGCTCTCATAGGTTTTGGGCTCTTGGATTTCTGTAGGTTTTGCAGACCAAGCTCACTGACTATGCCATTGAATATCCCCTGTGGCTGTAGCTCTGTGTTCTTGCAATATCTGTCCTATAGCAGAAGGGGAGGAACCCCTCTGTTCTTTCACATCCTCATCCCCTCATAATCAATGGCCCATGTGCCAGGCATTCCCCTTTAACAAGATCGTGGTCCCTCATTCCCATAATTATAATTACAAAGAAATAATATTAGATGGCACTATGTTGGACTCTAATGGGAGGAGCTGGAAGGTGCTGGCTAATCAGCTGCCTCGTTCTCTAGAACTGGTTGAAGATGTAGTTATGGGCAGTCCCTGAATCTGGGGAATAGATTAAATGCAGCATTTGCATTGTAAGCAGACAAGCAAAGAGATGCTATCAAATGGAGTGTAAGCTCTATCGGATACTGGAGAGCCTTGAAGATAATTCAGTTTTAGTGCTGCATAAAATAGTTTAGTTGTGGCTCTTTTTGTGGATCACTTTAACATAGATTTATAAAATGATCCCCTTTTCCCATCCAGTTTTGATTTCTGAATAGTCTGTGGGGAAAATACTAGTTGAATTCAAAGTGAATGTGACAGCTTTGTAGCTAAACTAAAATGAAAGATAAACTGCAGCACCATTTTTAAATAAGCTGTTTAAGATTTAAGTATGTTATCCCTACATCTGAATTGGTTTCCATTTTCCTAGAAGAAACTTGGTTAGAGCACACTGGAAAGAGAAGGATTAACAGGAAGGGAGAGTTTTCTGTATACTAGGGACAGAATTAAAGTGTGTTTGCTTTCTGCCTCCTGTACAGCACTTCTGTCCTAATGTTCCTTTGATAATTCATGATGTAGATAATGCAGCTAGTCGCTGCTTTAAAAGTTGGAAGAGGGATACAAAAAGTGTTGTTCCCCTTCCTGAAACACATATCTTATAAAGCTGTGCAGAAATGTTCTCGTTCTTAACCTCGGCCATGTTAATACTGCTCGGGTTCTTGCACCTAGACTATTTCTTTATATGTGTCAAGGTTTTACCCTGAAATTGTAGCTCTTACCGACTTGTAAAAGAGCAAATTCTATTTGGAACGCGAGTCAACCATCAGTCCTAAAAGACAGGCAAGCTTTTGTGTGCGTGCTGAAAGGCTTTTCTTCTAGTATTTAAAACCGGCATCAATCGCATGCCTAAATTCTGAATTCTTTCAAATAAGTGCATTGGTGACACCATGATTTTTTAATATGTCTGATCATACTATTTGCAGTCATAGTCAGAAACCAGGCCTTTATTTTTATTTTTGTACAGAATCTATTTGAAGTATGGAAGCCCAGTTAAAATGATGGAGAGTTACATTGCAGTTCTTACAAAGGGTATCTGCCAGAGTGAAGAAAATGGATCTTTCCTCAGCAAAGATTTTGATGCCCGAAAGGCTTATCTTGCAGGTTCAATCAAAGGTTAATTATTTTTTTTTAATCTAACTACTTTGGGTCTTGTTTAAATACATTGTGAGAACCATTGTAATGTCAGTCTGCATTCATATGAAATAGATTTACAATCATATTTCCAAACAGTGTTTCAATAAGTAACTAATATCAACTCTTTTAATATATTTTGATTATAATGATGTCTGTCGTCTAGTCAGTCTCTTTAAAACTACTGCCAGTCAATACATTTGCAATACTATAATCTGTCTTTCTTTCACTCTCTTAGATATAGTTTCTCAATTTGGAATGGAAATGGTTATCTTATACACTGCACTTATGTTAAAGAAAAGAATCGTAGTGTATCACCCTAGAATAGAAGCCATCCAGGAGTTTACCAGGTACAGCATATATTTGTAAATACTGTGAGCCCTGATTTAGAAAAGTATCGAGACCCAGGAAAATGCTTAAGGAAATGTTTTAAGTTAAGCACGTGCTAAAGTTGTATTGACGTCAGTGGAGCTTAAACACATGTAAGTGCTTTCCTAAATTGGGGCTCTGAGCAGCAGAACTAATAATAAAGTTTCTGCAACCATCAATATTAGAAGAAAGTTCAACAGAGTGTATGGAGGGAGGGAGCCTTGTATTATTGTATTAAAGAGACTCTTAATGTCACCGTTGATATTTGTCTTTAAACATTTATGGCTGTAAGTGCATTGATTAGTACAAGCAACCATAAATTAAGTTTCAAATGCCAACTTCATTTCCTCAGGACACTACCTGCTTTAGTATGGCATAGACAAGACTGGTCAATTCTTCATTCCTATGTACATCTAGATGATGATGAACTGGAAGCATTAAAGACCTGTCCAGGTAGGGGGTAACAAGTTACCAGTTCGGCCTGATTCATAGTATTGATTTAACCTTTGGTAAAGCAACACCCTATAGCATTTTTTTCTCCCGAAGAATCTGATACTGTGTCCCTCATGAGCTCACTTCTCAAAGCATAATTCAGCTTGGTTTTCAGATTACTGTAGAAATCAGATTGTATGGTTCTGTTTTCTTTGAGGGGTAGGGAGGAAGAGAGAAATTAGTGTGATTTTACCAAGCAAATAAATAGTTCTGTTGCTGATTCCAGATGGTGTCTCCCTCACCCTTCCCCAATGCATGTTAGAGCTGCAAGTGATTTTTCTTCTTTACTTTTGCTTTTTGCTATTGTTTTAGATTTGATGGATTGAAAAACCTTAATGTGCAGTGTTACATGGAAGTGTTGGTAACAGGCCTCACACTGTAACAGTGTTTGTTACCTTCAAAGACTTTTACATTGGTGATCAGTAACTTCTTATTTTTTGAGTTAAATTAACTCATTAATGGATATTTCACTATATATCTTAGAACTGAGTTTTGACTGTTTTATGGTGATAGTTAAGGACTGTGGGGTTTAGCCAAAAATGGGCTCCAAGTAATAGGAGTCTGATTTATGACTCCACTGTATGGCAGATATTGTAAATTTATATCATGCTTGAAAAAGCTCTTGGCTTATATGTCTCGTGGGGGCTGGGGGGGGTGCACGTGCACACATGCTCCTGGTGCTTTATGTAAAAATAAAAAAAACCACAAAACATAATTTGCTTATATTTGGTTTAGCTTTCCTTTAAAGTCCTGTATATGAAGACTTTTGTCTTCTTTTCGGACACTAGCAATATACTCGTATCTGTAAAGCACCAAAGAGTTGGGAAAGTTCTGTTCTCTGTTTGTGCCTCTGCAGATTGACCTGAGCGAAGCAGAAGCAATGAAAGAGATAAGGTGATGGGAATACGTTAAAATATAAAGTTAGATATATAGCACTGGGAGTATAAGCCAAGACCTTACACACATCATTTGTGCATGTATGTGTCTATATACTTTGGTTAGTCTATAAGATGTAAATCTACCCTGCCCTATACTCCTGCACAAAGCTGGACATGAGAGAATGAAGAAAGGACTTTATGAACTTCCTTGCTCTTGACTCACACAGATGGTAATTTGAACATTTAATTTTGACCATTAATATGTGTTTCTGTTCTTCAAAATTGCTAAACACGTTTACAGAGAAGAGCTACTTTGGGAAATGCACTGAGTGTACCTACTAGCATGCTGTCGATTGGAACATGTGATGCTACAGCTGCAAAATGATGATTCAAACAATAGCAAAGGACATCTGAGTGGAGCCTCTTAAATACAGATTAGCCTTTTGAAAGTAAACACAGTTTCATTTTTAGGAATATTTTGAGCAGTGTGAGTGTTTTGACATTGGAAAACAAACCTCCTTATTACAGCTGATGTTTGTTCTTCCATGCTTAGTACTATTAAAATTCAATTTTAAATCTTTGGGGGAAACAATTCTTCAGGCCTAGCTGAAAGCCCACTGATCTAGAGAGGGACTCCTTTGCAGTAGCTGTTGAGTCAGATGCTTAGTTTTAAAATAATTGTAGCATACACTGTTTTGTATGTGCACATATGATGTGTGTGTTATCGGAATTTTCCTTGCTTGGTAACTCTGGTTAATCTCTACCATCCAGGTTATATTGCTGGATTTACAGATCCCGAAGTGAGTAATAGACCAGATCTCTATGACGTGTATGTGAATTTAGCAGATACCGAAATTACCGTTTCCCCGCTAGCGAAAGGTGGGTTGGTTGCTGTTTGCCTTTGGGATGCTTTTATTGGTTTGCATTATTACTCCAGCATAGAGCCACATATATAAAAACAAAAAAACCCCCCACTTTGATCATGTTTTCATGCATATTCGAAAACTGTAGTTTCTAGTGCTTGATAGTCCTTCCCCATTGAGAGCTAAAAGGCCTGTGGTAAATCCAGGCTATAGGAATGCCTTCCTGGATGTGGATGAAAATGGAGCAGGTAGGGACCTGTATAAATATATGGACACTTTCATTAGCTATATATGGTGCATTGTAAATTTACAGTTGTAACCCATGTGTGTGTGTGTGTTCTTTGTGAACTATACCTGGATCCAGCCTAGTAATGCCCAGATTTCTAGTGGTATGCTGACTTGGGTTCCTAAATCTTAATGAAAATTTGTGGTATTTAGGCTTCCAAGTGTCTAAGGGTTGAAATGTTTAGGCACCTAAATCCCTTCAATATCTCCTTAAAAATGAGACTTAAGCTTTTAAGTCAGTTAGGCAATGTAAGATTGAGCAGAATAAAATAAGTGCCTTTTTAAGGCATCACAAATTTTTCTTTCGCTTTACATATCCTACTGAACTGGGTTTCATATCCACTTAGACATTGACAGGAAATGCTGCTTGCAAAACTTGCAGTGCATGACAGATAAGGCATTTGAGCAGTAGGACATCTTAAACTTACTGCTTTAAAAACAGGCAAATTAATTCTTTTATGGATGTTGAATAACTGATATTAAGACGGGGACTCATAATTTGGTTGCCATCGATTTCAGTTTGTAGTTTGCATACACGTGTATATATTGCTGCTATGAACAGATAATCATCCTTTAAAAATAAGCCATTCATTTGTAAGTGCCTTAGTAATGGAATTGGAGAGGGGAGGATGTGTGTAAAATATTTAAGCTTTCATCAGAATTGTATGATATGTTGTAAATTGACATTTGAAACCCCTGGGTGCATTTTATTTGCACTCTACCAGGATCCAGTGCATTAAGGACCAGATTTCTGACTGTATTCTGATTTAGGAACCTACGTTAAAACTTGGTGGATTTCGGCTCCTATGTGTCAAAGGGATGTACTATTTTGAAATATAAAGAAAAAAATATAACTTGGTTATATTTGGTTTAGCTGTCACTTAAAGTCCTGGATATAAAGATTTTGTGCCTGCCTTCTGGAAACTAGCAATGTACTTCGCATCAATAAAGCCAGCGAAGAGCTTGGGAAGTTCTGTTGTCTGTTTGTACTTTAGCAGATTGACATGAGCCAAAAGGAAGCAATAAAGAAGATAAGGTGATGGGCATACATTAAAATATAAAGTTTCTAGTTATGGTTTTAATATGAAAAGTGGCATAGGAAATCTTACTCCTCCTGCCATGTGTATATACTTTCAGAGAGCTACGGGTACAATCTAGCTGAGTTAGATGATCTGAATAAACATACGATGTATTTTCTGTTTCCCAGAGCCGATGACGATGGGAAAATTGCACAAAGAAATTGGACAGCTAATTGTTCAGTCTGCAGAAGATCCAGATAAATCAGACAGTCAAGTCATTAAGGTTAATCTTTTTTTTAATTTTTACATTATTTTTACCATTAACACTTCTGTTATATTTATTCTCTCTCTTTCTAAATCTAAAGTGCAGGATTCTCTTCCTTCTCCCCCAGGCTCAGATTTGTCACAGTATCTGGTTTATAAATACTACTGTACATAGAATAACACTGCTAGGGAAGTTAGTTATAGTAGTATTAGTATTAACTAATGCATAGTGTGTTGGAACACTGTGCCACTGCAGGAAATGTCAGGCATTCTTTCTATGTATTGAACTTGAAGTAACAAGATACTGTAACGGTGTCAGATTTTATGATCTCCCGTTTGCTTCACTTGCAGTGTATGCTTCTTCAAAATTTAAAGATTCACCTTTAAAGTGCTGCTCTTTTTATTTGTTCACACACCATGCATTTGGTTTTCAGAAAAAATGTACAGCCCTGTAAAGTCCTGGGCACTTTGCTGTCCCTGAATTAAATATTTTGCCATTTCACAGAAAAAAAAAATATTTTTTTTCTTATTTAAAAAATGGCATTTTGATATTATCAACCAATTCTTTTCCTGGCATTTTATTTGTAAATTATCGGTTTTATACAATTAAAACATTGTCCTACCATTGTATTCATCCCCCCCTTCTCTTTTTGTGCTTTTAAGGATATTTCATTGAAGACAAAAGAAATCTTGAGTACTCTGGCATCATTTACTGAAGCTTCTGATGATGGTGAGAAACCAACACTTAATATTGAAGCTCTAAAACAAAAGCGATTTCCACCCGCTACCGAAAACTTTCTTTATCATTTAGCAGCTGCTGAAAAAATGCTTAAGATATGACTATGTCGGTGTACTTCAGTGTTACGGACCAATACAAAACGATTCTCTTTACCATACTGCTATGAATATCCAATAATTATGTAAGAAAATTAAAGATATCAAATGTTATATTTTTAATGATGTAATGCAAGATATAGAAGATCAACCTGGAACGTTATGGATGCGCATTTGGAAATACTTCCAGTCTTTCTGTTTTTTTCTGACAATAACAATTTACATAGAAGGGGCAAATAGTGTAAAGCACAAGTAGGAATGGGGCACTTGGCTCTCGGCTCGTGCCTTTTGAGCCTTTCTCCTTATGAGAGGAGGGAAATGGAAATTTTAGAACATAACATTGGATGTCCTGGTTTAAATAAATGAAATGGAATACTTTCAGCCCAACAGACACAACTGGAAAATATCTAAAACTGTAAAATTATACCCATTTTTCTTTTTTTTGCATAGTCATAAAGTGATAGTTTATTTCAGTCAGCAGCCTGAAACTAACTCTTCTTTCTGAAAGAATTTAGGGTTTGTTTGTTTTTTTAAAATGAGGAGACCTACTTTCTGAGCCAAACATCCAATGTTTCTGCAGAAATGTCCACAAAGCCTGTCAAAAGGTTCTGCAGTAGCACTTTGTTATATTCAAAATATAACTTTTTTTTTTCCTGTCCTTTGTACATATGAGCTATAGCATGTGGTTTTACATAGAGATTTTATACTTCTGATTAAAACTTTAGTAATCCATATTTATACTGTTAAAGAACTGAATGTTTGGTATCCTGAAACTGTTAGAGCTCATCACTAATTATGTACAAGCAATATTCATTTGAAAAAAGTTTGTTTACATATAAATTAAGGAAGTCTATTTTAGATTATGGATAAGGAAGTAGGCATTTATGTATCAAATGGCTACTTATTACAGCTAAAAAATCTGAAAGTACTACCTTTTATAATCCCCTATTTTCAGGGGTGTTTAATTCTACTCTGTTCTCTCTGGACGGAAACTTTTTAGTTTGTCTGAATGCAGCTGTTTTTGTCTCTCTAAGAACTGCCCTTGACTGTATTTGCAGATCAGTGCTCCAGATCTTTTTCATTTATAAACTTTAAAGGTTGGAGGGGCTGTTGTTCATGGTTTTGGTTTTTTAAAACACTCCTTTAGTATGGCTGCTTTTGTTTTCAGATGTTTTTAATGGTCCAAAATTCAACGCTTAAGATACGTAGAAGGAAATGCATTTAAGGCCTGATCTAAAATCCCTCAAAATCAGTACGAGTCTTTGATTTGATTTGAATATATTTTGGATCAGATCTTTAACATTGCAGTAGTTATCATACAGTTGCCTGCCTGAAATGATTTACATGGCTTCTTAAAAATTCTTTAATGAGCCTTATGTAAAATAGCATGTGGTTTTGAATCATCACAAAAAAATCAGTTGCAAATTATTATATTTTGTGTTTGTTTAGGTGATTCTCTTGTTCACCTAAGAACAAGAGAATCACCTAAATGATGAATATTTCTTTACTGTTGAATATTACTTTACTGTTTGTCTCGGACATTTCATTGTAACGGTTTTTGTAAGAAAACAAATGAAACTTAAATTTGCACTTCAGGAATTATACACCTAGCACAGATATGCCTCTAAATAATTACGATGCTATTTGTCCTGAGCTCTTGCCCTGTGTATTTCACGTTGATTGTGCTTGATTAGTCTTGGTCATCAAAAGTCATAGGCTTCATCTCTTATGTTACAACAAAATGGTAATATTTAGTACTTGGTAGCTTAAAGCATTGAAACGTTATAAATACCTAGGTCAAAAAACTAGAATTTATTTTTATTTATATTGTATGCACAGTGAGATGACTTAAGCATGTTCTTGTCATAGGTGGGAGATAGTTTTGATTCAGTGTACAAAACTGGAGTTCTCCTCTTTCCCCAGATGATACAAATGTTTGTAGGAGAAATGGGTCACTGGCCTTGTGTTGAAGTTCTGTATCACCTGCATTTCTACAGCCTCTTTTCCAGGAATAGCAAAAAAAGGCCAGTCTAGTAATAATCAGATTGTCTTCTTGAGACACAAAAATAAGTGATCTTGGAGAGAGAATATCAGCATGTGATCTTTCAGAAGTTGGCAAAACAAACTGTGCCTAGTGGCCACTGCCTCTCTTCCAAGTGAAGTCTTGACACGTACAGACTTCACAGTGATTCAAAAGGGGATTTTGAATCCAGCTGGTCAAGTTAGCAACCCTGTACTCATCCTGTTCTGCGCTGAATTGTAACAGTGTGAGATACCACATTAGTTCTGGTTTCTGGCCTGTTCTTGATATGTTCAGTCAACGTGTTTTGCAACTGTTAGCTCTGGAAACTCAGTCTTTGTATGAAGCAGTATCCTTTATTATTCATTTAGTGGTAAAGATTGCACAGGTTAAATTCTCAGTTACGCCTGCTCACCCCTATTGCCTTTAAGGGTTGTGTAAGTAGGGAGAAGAGGCCTTACAGCTGAAACGTGCTAATGCTGATGCCAAAGTCAGACCAGGATCCAACTCCCTTATAACTGTATTAACTCTGTTGTGTACACAGGAGGTTAAATCATTAAAAACATATGCAAAATAAAATGAATCCAAATGTGAAGAGAATCTGTTGAATGAAATAGTGCCCTTTTCTAGACATTTCTTGCACCCAAGAACACCTTAAAGTGGCAAGTGCTCTTCTCCTTCTCCCCTTACCCCCAGTTCCTTGGGGCTGGTGTACGGGTGGAATTAACCTAGCTTTCAGTTAAGAACGCGCAGTGTGTTTTTGTTGCTTTTTCTTGGGAGGGAGGGGAAGTTCCCAAATAATTATACCAGGGTAAACCCTGAAAAGTGCTAACACTGCAGTAGCCTGTTGATGTAAGGGAAAGGGAATAAACTGTACTGATGAACAGCACCCATACAAGGGGCTGTACCCATGTACAGCATGCATGTAGAGTGGGCTGTGGCCCCTGTGGAGATAAGTGGCTTTATTACACGCAGACCTGGACATAGGCATGGGCAAACTGGGCGGCTGCCTGCAGTCTGGACAGAAAGGGGGCCGGAAAATGGAAAGCAAAAAAAATTAAAACTGCAAAATAAAGTTTTAATATTGTGCATATATGGGACCAGCAGTGTTATCAATTGAGAACGAACTATTTAAAGACGTCGATACCAGATGTGATAAACACCTTTTGCAACAAAAAATTCATCATCTGTGGCACAGGAGGGCCCGATACTAAAAGCTCACTTGGGGCCGTCAGGTATGGCACTGATTACACACAAACTTATCTTAACAAGCATTATGTTTTTGAAGTTGGGCATCTCCAGAATGAACTTTGCAGAGGCAGCCTTCATTTGGACTCCTGGTGCATGTTGTATCGTGCAACCTGTAATTGCATCATCCCATATTGTCTTTCCACATTCTTTGTCTCATGTAGTGCCCGGGGTTGACTTCCTCTGGGACTGATTTAGTGTTGCATAGTGATTCAGACTTGACTGTAGGAACCTTTGCTTCATTCAGTGCAGAAGTGGGAAGCTGTGTGTATTAAGTGAGGTAGGAGTGAGTTACGTGGTGCCCTGGTGATCCCCTTCTCTGTCATTTCCTACCAGCTGGGCTCTAGTCTTCCTCCTCGTTTCCTGCTCCATGTGAGAGTCCAATATTTCCAGCTTTTTGTCCCTGCTTGTTTTACCAAGATTATCCTCATTCTTCCCTTGTCCCCACCACCATCTAAGTCAGGGGCAGGCAAGTATTTTGGGCAGAGGGCCACTTACTGAGTTTTGGCAACCCATCGAGGGACACATGATAGGCAGCCAGGGGCAGATAAATATTCATTTTCTAAATTTTTTAGGGGCCCCATGGGCTGGATAGAATGGCCTGGCAGACCGCATCTGGCCCTCGGGCTGCGTTTTGCCCACCCTGATCTAACTTCTTCATCTGCTTTGTCTTCATCACCCACCGGCTCCTCAGTTTCTTCCCTTCATCTTCCATCTTTCCTTCCCTGACAGCCTGCACTCCCGTTCCCTTTGTCCTTCTGCACTTCAGGTGGCAGCTTTCTCCTTCACATTGCCTGAGCATGACTTGCTCATTAGGAACGTGCATCAAAGCAAGAAACTTGCTCTCAGCTCCAGTGCCTAGACCAAGAGCTTTCCCTGGTATAAACCTCTCCAGGGCACACACAATCTTAAGAGACTTTTTTAGCTGCTAAACGTAAGCCTCTACTGACCATGAGAACTGTAATTTTTCATCAGCTTATTACTTGTCTAACTTTGTGCCCTTATGAAAATCCACCCAAAAAAGCAGACCCCTGACCCAGAATACCCTGCTCATAAGTTATAAACCCTTACTCAGAAGTGTAGGGCCAGGTAGCTTTTCAAAGTGCAGGTGAAAATATTAAAAGTTCAGGCAAAGCAATGCACTACCTAGGCTTTTTCTTTTCTTTAAGTCTAGGAAGTTGCCTTTCCTGCCTCCCCACCCCCTAAAAAATCCATCTGAAGTAACACCTGTCATACCATCTTGGACCAGACAGTGAGGCTGGCAAAAATTCCAACCAAGTGAAAACAGGATCTTGCAGGAAATATTGCACAACCTTAGGAATAAGCAAGTATTCCACCTTATGGATATATATCATTCCATAGCTGGAGTTGCCATTGCTTCAGCTATTTACTGTAACAAATACTAATCAAGGGGAGGGTGGTATAAGCCTTATAGTTACCCTGGCAACTCTAAATGAAGGTCTTGAGGCTTGTCCGAGCGGCTCTGCTAGAGGGTAGTGTTTTTCATGGTCCTTTGCCTTGACTATGGCTAATAAAAATCAGCATTAAAGCAGATGGAGAGGTAAGTTATAAAGACTATTCTCTCCTTAGTAGCATTCGGAGTTTCTCTTGTTTATCAAGAGCAGAATTAGATGTTCTGAGTTTGCACTGAGTATATTGTTGGTACAGGACTAATGATGGGGAAAAATAGGTCAGTGTGACGGAAAATGTAACTGCAGGATTTATTCTGATCATGAAATAGCAATTAGGGACTTTAAAGGGAAATAAACATTTTCTGGTACAAAAGGTAAGATGCCAATTTTATTAGAAAATGGATATACAAATCCCTATCCCTAAACGGTACAGCTAATTGATCCCTGTTGAATGAACTGGTCTAAAATGAGCTACTTGATCTTACAAACCTATACATTGTCATATCAGTAACTCTCGACATACTTTGGATAGAACAGCTTGTTCTGCTATTGCTTCTATTTCTTTTTCTTCCTAAAATGATTAAGTTATGCTATTGTCTACAGGAAATCTATCAAATAGAGCTGTCAGTGTACAAGAAAATCCTCTGCTGAGGAAAACTGTATTCTATTTTCTCTCTCCATTTAAAGTTAAATCTCACGTACAAGGGCATTAGATGACAATCAAGGTTCTGTGTATAATGTATAAGACCATAGCCACCTCCTCACACTTTTGCCAAGATATTGCAAGTAGGCCTGTGCACAGTGTCTAGTATTCGATTCGGATTCGGCCGATTCGGGGAACAGTAATTCGAATCGGTGATTCAAGTCACTGTTCCAAATTGATTCGGCCCAATCTGATTCGGAGATTCGGCCACCGCCAAATTGGCTGAATCTCTGAATCGAACAGGCCCCATCCCCTGCCCACTCTCCCAGCCCCATCAATGGTTGACCTGTCCAGCCCCAGCGTCCCGGCATTTAAAAAGTCCTTACACTCGCCAGCCCCTGCCGGGGGGGGCGGCAATCTCCACTGCCCTCCACTGCCCTCCACC